CTACATCCTTGCTCGACACTGGTCAAGTATGGAGCTGGCATCTCTCTTCAGGGTGTGATCTTCGTGCCCAACGTCACTCCGTTCTCGGAGGTGAGGAATGTGTGGTCTTTCCGACGGTTTGGCGAGGAGATTAAGGATGTCAAGATGATTGTGTCCAGGAGGATCTCCAACCAGTATGTGTTGGGAGTCAGTGGCTCCCTCCACGAAGTCACCAGCCTTGAGCGCCATCATGGCTGTTGCGACTGAGATCCTCGAGAACCCGAACGTTCCGGAGACCCTGAAGAGCAAGGTCGAAAAGGCCATGGGTATTGTGCTTGCGGATCCTGATCACGACAAATGGCTGCCCGGTGATTTGGAGACGGTTAACGACCTGAAGGTTGCAATGGTCGATGCCTACAGGCCAAAGAACAGTAGGTGGCGGCGTGAGAAGTGCAGGATCTGCCCGGGGTGCTTGAAGGAGAGCCCCGATTCCTTTGCCTACTGCCTCCTCTGCAAGGGTAAGTTCATTACCTTTGGAACCTTCACGTCCGTCTTGTCGGAACGGGAGAAGGAGAACATCGAGGCGGCCAGGACAGCCGAAACCATTGATGTGGAAGAGGTTGTTCGGAAGGCAAGGAGCAGAAAAGAAGGTTGAGCGGGAGCTTCACTTCAAGATTGTCGAGGAGGGTCCCGTCGAGCAACCCACGATTCAGAGGAGCAGGTACGAGAAGATGAAGACAGACAAGCCCTCTGATGAATATTGGCTTTCATTCTGCAAAATGACTACGATACATGAGGACTTTTCACAGCGGAACCACTTGAGATCACACATCTCCTGAAGGTTTGGCCGACCGGAGTCCGGAAGGTCAATCTCCTGAAGGATTGAAGGAACTCAATTTTGTCGGTTCTGAGTGCTGCGCAATGTCACTGACTCTTTCGTCTAGCGGTTAGATCCAAGTCGGGACTGCCCGAGACGAGCTAGCGCTGAAAAGTGGCGGCTCGTTTTCAACCGCGAAACGAAGGGGCCAGTAGTTTTGCTCAACATGTCTCGCTCATTGTAAAAGTTGATTGGAGGGGCGGACTTCAGTGACGAGATGATGCTTTTCATTTTTGCATTTCATTCAAGTGAGAGCTAGGGTTTTGTTAGGCAGTACATTTCAAGGTTCTGATGTGGGCCAAGCGTAGTGGCGAAGCCAGTCAACGTCAGCCGAGGGCCGTAGGCCTGGAGATGAGAAAGCTAATGCTCCCGTTGATAGGTGCCTAACGTGGAAGTTCATTTGAAGTTCCTAGGTGTGTACAGCTGCGACGAGACTTAGGCTCGAAGATTTTATTTCAGGTTGCGAAATGAAGGGGAGAGCCTGCGCGCATTTGAGATTTAGGAACGTTCCTGGAACTTTTGATGTTGAACCCTCTATGCCTGGTCCGAACCCATTGGATAAGGGCGAGGGCACTCTACCTTGTAACGGCCTCGTGGGGGGGGTCAATGGGCCCCGAACCTGAGGCATGTCTTTTAAGGGTATAACAACCATATACATGTCTGCCTGAGTGGCGCTTAAGATAACCTAAGGGTCAATATCCACCCTTGACTGGAGGGTAACAACCAGTTCGCACAAATAAACACAATTTTGGTTGTAATGCCGGTGACAAAGCGTTCAAGCCAGCTGCGCGCGCGCGCTCCGGAGAGCGCGAGACCGGCATTGGAGCGCGCGCGTTGAAGAAGCTCGCTTAAGGCCATGTATGGCAAAGGGTATTGAGCACTGATACTCAAACACAGTTAATCATTTCGGCGTTTTTGTTGTTGTTCTAAGTAGTGACAAAGCAGAATTCGATCCAGCCGGAAGACTCACATTGGTGCGCGCGCTCCGGAGCGCCCGCGCGCGTTGCAGAAGGTTGCTTAAGTCAATGAAAGGCAAAGGGTATTATTCACTGATAATCAAACACATTCAATCATTGCAGCCGGCGCTTAGTAAGAAATAATGAAGCAGTTTTGGTTGCGGTTTCAGTGACAAAGCAGAGGTCAAACCAGCCGGAGCACGCGAGACCAACATTGGACCGCGCGCGCGCACGCGCAAGACTGGCATTGGTCTGGTCAACACCTTGATCTGCTTATGAGGTGCCCTGCTCGTCTATTCATGTTCGGTTTTTTCTTGCTTGTCTTTTGGCTGGCGCTTAGTCACGTCGATCTATCCTCTCATAACATGCTCTGCTCGTGCGTTGCTTTCTTTCCCAACTCGTTTCCTCTCTGGTGCCTGGCTACCTAGATCTGGTATCGAACTGCTTTGCTCCTGTCTGTTCACTTGTCTTCCCACTTGTCTCCTTACTACTGCGTCGCACCTCCCTGCCTCTGTTTTGCGTTGCGCATGCATGCGTGTTTGCCTGATATGCCTAATATGCCGCTTGACTACCTGCCTGGTGTCTTGTCTGCTTTGCTTGCTGACATACTGGTGCCCACATGACGCAAGCAAGAAAATGCCTCTCACTGTTTGGGGTCGATGCTGGTGTAATTTGAAGTTAGAGTGGTGCCTGCCACGAAATCCAATTTTGACAAGATTCTGACGCGTCCCGCAAGCTAGCGCGGGAATGCGGCACCAGAAGGATTTCGATCGATTTTGGCAAACATCAAGCTCGCAAAAGCAAGGCGATGGGGCAGCTAAAAGCACAAAGCAGGACAGAGACAACGAGCATTAGACAGTGAACCGATTGGCGCGCAAATTCTGAGCAAGACAGTGAGCATCAAAGCAGGACAGCTCGTTCTGACGGGGGATTGCACACCCCGCGCCCCACGTATAAGGGCTGCGCATTCAGGAAAGTTCATCAGACCTGCGCCCGAGGGTGCGAAGAGGCTTGGAGCCCACCAACTCTGGAGTGGCGAGAAGCTGAAGAAACGCAAGTTGCCAACCTCATGAAAGTTGCCCGGCGATACCAGGCCCAGCGGTGCTGACAACATTGGCAACACCAAAACGCACCCAAGGACTACAGAGGGCGAGGTGAGGCTGTCGGACATGGGCCTTGCCGTGGAGGGCGACGTTGCCAGTGGAATGCTCCTTGCCTGTTGGCCGTGCGTTTGCAGCTCCGGGCACCAGGTTTCGATTGCTTCTCATGTAGAAACGGTTGTCCTTCACTGCTGAGCTTCTGCAGGGTTGGATCTTGGTATTACGTGGCGCCGGAGATGTTCCTTGGGATTGACTACACGCACGCTGCCGCCAGCTTGGCATGCCAGTTGTTGGCAGTTTTTGGTGCGCTGGAGTGACTCTCTATCAAGCTGGTTCTGGCAGCCAAGGTGGACAATTGGGCTCTCGGATGCAGTATCTACACAATGCTTAGTGGCTTGGCTTGTCTTTTTCCAAGAGCGCTTCGGGCAACGCAATTTGAAGGGACACGGCCCCCTGAAGTCATGGATCAAGGTTTTGTCCGAAACAACGATGCAAGGACAAATGTAACATAATGTAACAGTGTGGTTTGCTCTGCCCCAAAATGGGCCCTCGACATCCTTTGTCCAAACGATAACAAAACGGTTCTCGTTTTACTTCAACATCAATGTCGGTGAGCCTTGCCAGTTCCCATTGAAAGTACGCCACAGCTACCCCAGTTACTCAAGCGATGCCAAAGCTGACGCTAGCGTGGACTTCAGCTGGCAATAATCACCGCGCTATTTGTGCCTGCGTGAAGCCCGCCGCAGCCACAGCCTCATGCAGGTTTCGGGGAACTGCATTAAGTGATTTGGGCATGCTCAAAACCAGGACGGGCGGGCTTTTTGCAGGTTTCCCGATCGCTTCGCTTTCGCCCATCGTTTTGCCAGGCGGAAGCCCGCCCTTCATCCCAACAGTCCAGCCCAACACTCACGCTGAAGCAAAGAGTGGAATGATGGAGAAGGCCTGTTTGCGTGCCAAGCTAGTTGGGCTTGCGCTTTGCCATTGCGAAATCCTGGGGTATATCGAAGGCACGCGTTACGTGCTTGCGCAGTTTTATAGTTTGTTGCCTCTGTCGTGCTTGTTTTGGAGATGGCAGCCAGAAGCTGCCTGCGTGTTGCCATGATAGGCTTTGCAAAAATATCAAACCATATCAAACCTAAACAAAGTGCGCGCAAGACCCATGCGGGAGGACGGCTTGCAAATCATCCGTGTGTGCAAGCAATTATTATGAGCTTCTGTTGTCCACCAGGTGGCCAACTTTGCCAAGCATCGCAATTTGGTGTTCCCAGGCTGCTCTCAGAATGCTGCTGGGATGCAGGGGGCGTTGGTTTGAGGATGTTTCCTGATTGTTCCTGCAGGGCAGTCGATCACTCAAACGCCTGAGGCGCAGCAATGCGTGCTCCAACTTCTGTGCGTCAAGCCTGCAACACGGCTGCGCTGTCACGAACTCAGCAGGCGCGCGTCACCAAGCAGACAGACAAGTCAAAGCCGTTGCAAACGCAACAGGCATCCATTCTTCGCGCAGATCGATTTCCAAGAGCTTCAAGCTTGGACCTTGGTTTCAGGAGGTGGTTGCCAGGTTTTGCCCTGTGCTTCTGAGGCTGGCAAGGTGAAGCCGCCACACACGTTAGACCCTCAATTGGTTGGAGAGGGCAACGGCAATGCGAACAGTCGACGAAATGTTGCGCAGGTGGCAGCAACTGCTTGCCCGTGCGAGTGAGCTGGGCCCCAAGGGGTTGCAGGGGCTGCAGCAGTCGTGATGGAGTGGAGTGCCGGGCCGCAGCATGTGCTGCGAGTGGAAACTGCCGCGCGGCGATGCTGCCACAAGTGTTTACAGCGCTGCAAGCGCACGCTCAAGCTCGATTCAACGGCACGTCGTGGAGACTTTGGCGTGGATCGTCGGAGCTATGCAAGAGCGCCCCCAAGTCCGCACTGCTGCAGCGCAAGCTTTGGGAGGATTTGTGCCTTCGGACGCTGGCGGGTGGAGAGACTTGAGCGCGCTCAAGCATTAGCCCAGGATGACTTGGCGCTAGTGTGGGCCACTTACTGCAGCTCATTTGCACCGCTGAATTGTTGGCAGGGCCTTTGTCCAGGATTGTGGCTGTCGCAATGGAGAACTTGCGTTTGAATTTGCCGCGGGCTGGCCGGACACCTGTTGGGGCCGCCCGTGCCATCAATGGCCGCGTTTTCATCGCTGGCCTCGTGATTGGCAATATTGGGCCTGGCTGCGAATCTGCCGAGCTACGTTTGTTCATGGCGGAGATTCCCGAGCTCCCAGATTCCATGCGCGACAGATGCTGCAGGCTTATCCTTCGTGGCGCGCGCAGAACAAGCTGGGCGCGCGTTGAATATTTGGAACCAGCAAGTGCTTGCAGGTGCAGCTTTAGATTTGCCTACTTCAGGTTCCAACAGTGGGAGCAGAGCACAACGGGCAACAAGCAGAGAATATTGAATCCGGACTGGCCGACAACGCTGGCACAAGGTTACCTAGCCGTGCGATGTCATGGCTAATCTGCGCAATAGCAAGGCGTTGGCACGGAAAATGGAGCGGATAGCGCGCTCAGAGGCCGTCCATTTCCCCGCCATTCGCAGCTGTTGCGCGGCTATCAATTCTGCCTCATTCATCTTGGTGTTGACCGAATCAGTGTTTCCGTGAGTCAGGACACACATATATATGCTACCCCCCCCCAAAAAAATGGTTGTAAGATTGATTGTAGGGCGGGGAATTTTCAATTTCAGGGCATTTGTTCAAGATTGAATTTTAACCTATCTTCGCTCCTGTTCTGTTTTCTCATAAGGTTAATAGCAGAATTCTATGGAAAAGTTAAAGGAAAATATCCACAGTTGGAACTTTCAATAAGGTAATCAAAATGACGATAAATAATATCATAAGAAATAAATATTATCAATCTAATCTTTACTCTGCTTCATTGACGTTATTTAGGTTCTTCTTATGTTTGTTTGTTTCTTCGTGTCTTGATTTCTGATGTGCCACAAACTCAGTTTTACAAATAGGACATTCAATTTTTACCTTAAACCGTTCTCTTTGTTTTTCGAAAATAACATCTCTGCTATTGTCGTAATATTCTTTCTTTGATTATTTGATTTGTTCTTTCTTTCTTTCTCTATACTGTTTGCCCTGTTCTTGTATTTTACTTTTGTTATTTTTCGATATTTCTTTCTGACTTGTTTTATAGTTTCACGATTTTCTTCATAGTATTATTTTTGCTTTTGAAGACATCTTTTACAACATTTATTGTCTCCATTAAAGTCAGTTAAAGGTTTCTTGACTTCACAAGTGGAACATTTCCTTATTTCTTCTACGGTGTCAGATATCTCTATTATATAAAGAAATCTTTTGTTTAAACCATTTCAAGGTCTATTTCAAGGTCTATTTTCTAAAATTTCTCAACATTTTTTACAATTTGTTCATTTAATAACAGTCTAAGATATTGACATTTTCAAGGTTCGGGTTTCAGACAATTTTATGGCTTTCTGGGGGATTGAAGAATTTAATCATATTATAAGTAAATAAATGATACGAATAAACTGACTGAATTACACAGGTTCATCAACAATGAGTTTGAACCTTATGCTTTTTAAGCCTTCAAAATTCATTCTACTTCTTTCATCATCAATACAACTGTATATTTGTTGATGTGCCGCTCTCATTACATCAGCTATATTATCTATGGTTATATTATCTACAACATCATCACTATGAAATTTAAAGTAAAAGTGCTAAATTCATCGTCTTCATAATAATTCAAATGATGAAATCTTACAAACATATCTATCATAACTATTATCGTTGCTTCATAACCTTCATCGGTTTCAATGTCATCTAACAAACAATCTAAGTTTTCATTTTCATTAAAAAGTATATTTTCAATGCTTTTAATGCTTAAAGGTATATTTCTAGAAATGTAATACTTAATTACGTGTCTCTTTATATCATAACTCTCTTCAACAGTATAGTGCTTTGTCTTTATTTTTGTTTCAGTTCTGTTTATTTTATAACGATTTTGTATTCTCTTTAATGTCTTAATATGATTATGTTTTATTTTCAATTACTCAGTTTCACCTAATTTATATGAAATGATACTTTTTAATACTTCAACAGGTAAGTTACTCCAATTCTCAACCATAAAATTATTCTCTGTCATTTTACCCTCGCTCATTTTCTCTTAATATATTAAGGTCTCATTTCTTTAAGTATATATTTGACTTTAAGGTAGTTTAATCATATTGTAAGATAATAATATTAATAAACTTAATCTGAGTCACTATCAACAATATCTCTATAAGGAAACCATTCTATAATCAACCTTTTCTTTTCTAACAAATGACAGACGAATTTATGGTAAAACTCATTATCAAAAATGTGTTTATAAACGACGTTGTCTTTGTTTTCTATATATTGCCATTTCAACATTTTAAGAAAATCTCTACACATCGAGATGCTAAAATATTCACAAGATACATAACCATCATTATGATTAAAAAGTAAATTATAGTGAAATTGAGTAGCGGTTTCATAATACAAGATTAACCTATTGTCGTATCCATACTCCTTTAATGTTTTGTCAAAATCTGTTGTAAATATTGTCTGTAATGACTTTTTCGTCGGAAATTTATTTAACCTCGTCATATACCAAATCCACTTATCCATTTCTTTTAAATTGTCAGGTTCGTTTTTCATTAAATGTTTTGTAATGGTGCATCTTTTACAACATACAAAACTCAAAATATTATCAATGATACAGTCAGGTAATATGTCATTTGCTTTTTTAAACTTTGTTGTTGAATATCTTACAACCACGACATTTTACATTTTTTGTCAATTCTTCTCTGATACACTTATTCATTTTTCTCTTAATATATTAAGGAGTCATTTCTTTTCTTCTTGCCTCTGCTACTTTTTGTGTCAGCGCTTTCTGGGCTTCTGCTCCTGCTTCTTGTTTCCATTTGTTCCCTCGTCCATTCACTACCTCTTGCTATTTCTTCGGGTGACCGACTTCTGCTTCTCGTTTCCATTTGTCTTATGCTCCATTGACTGCCTCTTGCTCTTTCTTCTGGTGAGTGACTTCTGCTTCTTGCTTCTACCTGTCGTCTTGTCCAGAATGATGCCCTCGGTTGTTCTTCTTCCTGTTCTCTTGATTGTTCTGATGGTGTGGATGACTTCTTTTCTCGTTTGAATAATTCAAATATGCTCTTGTCTTCTCCACCTAAAAATATGTTTCTTAACGACTTTCTTTCTCGGCTTTCCTCTTTCTTCTCTTCCTCTTTCACGGTTGATGCTGACGATGATGACGTTAAATGAAGACTTTGTAAATCTTCCTGCTTTTCATCTTTTGGTTCATCTTTTGGTTCATCTTTTGGTGAATCTTTTGGTCCTGAAATTGCATTGCTATAAATTTCATCAGCAAAATATTTTGCTACATATCGTGTTGTTTGTGCGTCTGCCTCGTTGTTTTCATATAACTGCGATGTTGGTGCTACTTCATCAAACATATCAGGGAACAATTCGTGTTGAAGAACTTGTTTATCAGTTTGAACCCTAGCATTCAACCGTAGTCTCCTATCGTATTTTGAAAGGTCAAAATCATCAAAGTCTATATTATTAATTGATGTGTCAAATGTCTGTCTTTCAGGGATAATTTCAATTTTTAATCTGTGTGTCATCGCTTCTTTCAGCATTTCATCAAATGTAGGGCGTCGTCTTAATCCATAATATTTATCAGTCATATTAAATAGTATAGATTATTTATTGTTCAGTTGCTTTATGCACGAAGTATGTATTATAAACATTGTCCTCATAATATTTTTGTAGTTTAACCTTCACTTCGTTTCTATCTACTCCTGTTGTATTGTTATATTCATATAATAATTCTTTGAACTCATCATATTGAACAGCGTTAATTACATTGAATTGATGTAGTTTTGAAATTATACTATCCATTAAACTTCTTGGATTTTTTGCTAAATACACCGGCCACATCCACTTTATACCACTTAAATATTTTTTGAAAATTCGTTCGTCATCAACTTCTTCATTTTCAACATTTGTTAATTCTATTTCGATTGCTTGTTCTTGCATTTCCATTTTCTCATCATTAGTAATGGTTGTTTGCGCGTCATCGTCATCATCCTTACCTTTTTTCAATGCTTCTACTTCAACTACAGGGTCGTCTTCACGTTCATCTTCTTCTTCCTCTTCCTCTAATGGTTCTAATTCTGGCGTTTCATCAGCGGACACCATTGAATGAATTTCTACACCTTCTGGTATTGATTGTTTTGAAACAGCACTTGCCATTTCTTCGTGTTGTTCTCTCCAAAGTCTCATTTTTTCAGCAAGTTATTCTTTCTGTTTGTTTGTTTCCACCAATCTTTCATTAATGAAAGACTGCTGTTGTTTCAGTGTGTCAGCAAGTTTCAGTTCATCATCAAGTTTAGCTCTTACACTACCACCGTCCGACGACGCTTCTTTAACAACTTCTTCTCTTCTGTTCAGTTCTTGTTTCTTCTGAATATCCAAAGCATCTTTATTATCAAACTGACTACCGTATTGATTTAATCTGTATCTGGTTGCTTTTCTGTCTATTACATTTTCAATTGATGGGCGGTTCTCATCTCCTACTAATGTTTCTTTCAATAATTCATCATAAGACGGTCTCAAATGTAATTGTGATTTCAATGACCCTACTTTTACCGGTCCTACTGTATTCAATCTATTCATTGATTTAATCATAGTATATTAATTATTTCGAAAAATAAATTAATCAGAGATATTCTTAATCATTTCTTCTAAATGCTTCTTTCTTAGTGTTAGTTGTTCCTTTGTTTGTATTCCGTCTGGTGACCGTGTGTTGTCTAATATGTTTCTTATTCTGTCTAACTCTTTTCTGTAACTTTCGGTTCTGTTGCTTTCAACTAAATCGTTTCTATACTTTATTAATGCTCCTTGTGATTGTTTCGCTTCCAGTGTGTCCTTCAACTGTTTAAAGTAATTCATACGCGAGGCAACTCCCCAGAAATCTGAAACATCATAATGACGTTCTACTTGTGGTGCTCTTTTGAATTCTACATTTCTATGACTTCTCATAAGCATAATTGTTATATATATAATAATTAGATTATTATTTAAAACATTGGTAAAGTTAATTTACTTATTTTATCTGATGTATCTTGCTTTTTCTTTTGTTTAAGTTCTTCATAATGTTGGGTTAATAGTTCTGTCGCCGTGGGTTTCTTAATAGTTTCTTTAATCACTTCTTGTTTAATCTCATTCTTAATTTGTTCTTTTACTTCTGGTTGAATCTTTCTATTATTCTTTTGTGGATTAACTGGGAGCATCTCGGTTCTTGCCCCTTTACAATTTTTAGGATGTGAGTGTCTCAAACTTTTCAATGTCATCTTTTTAGAGCATTGTTCACATTCTACTAATTCAACTTCTTTTTTAGTTCTTGGTAATGCTTTTGCTTTTGGTAATGCTTTTGCTTTTGGTTCAG